CCTTGTAATTTGACTGATTTTTCCATAAAGTAGGGAACAATGTTCAACAGGAACTTCATGGAACTGCCATCTCTTCCCAAATCATGGTATCCGTTTTTCCCAGAAGACTCCGAACAGCCCCTGTTTCCCACATGTTCAAAGCGCACGGATCGGGAAGCTGGGAAGCTTTAGCATTGCTTTTACGGTGTAGGAAACATAAAACAGTATTTTTGGAAAGGTAGAGGAAACAAAGTGTTTCGGGTATTCCCCCAAAAAATGGGTCGTGTCCCTTTGGTTTCCCTTTGAAGCAACCCCAAAAAGGGTACCCCAGAAAACCAGCCTCGTTTGTGCGTGAAACAAGTCAGCGGTTTCCAACCCTGTTTCCAACATGTGGGCAGATTGGCCACCCTCTTGGTTAGTTACTATTACTAAGCGTGCGAAGCAATGTGTACTGCTATTGGGTTGGATCTTTAGACTTCAACTTTTTGGGAATTAAAGGTGTTTTCCACTAAGCCCCCAAAACGTGAAACCTTTTGCAGGGGGTCAACAGCAACCAAGAAAGTATAAAGCTCGGTGTTTGAAATGGTTTAAACACATAAACCATGTGCTTGGTTTCAAAGGGACACTAAATGCTATGTTTAGGTGCTGGTGGCGTCATGCGACAACAATGTCCATTTCAAAATTTGGAGGAATTCCACCTGCACCCCTTGGCAACCTAGGTGGCATTTTCTTTAGGTAATAGGCCTCATAGGCCCAAGATCTTATTGTAGGTATTTACAAGGCTTGTAGGCCCTCATCTATGCACTCCTAAGGAAGGTTTAAATCCTTGACACTGCCACATATGTGTGTGTGTGTTGCGTGTATGCGTTTTGCGGGCGCCCCCGTTTGGTTGGTTTTGGAGGGAAAGCAAAAGGAAAACGACCCCAAAAGAAAAACATGCCCATAAACCATCCTTTCTGCCCTTGTTGCCCTTGTAGAATTGCTTCATGTGCTCTTTTGCGGGTCAGATCAGTCTGGCCGTTTTGCCTCTATGATCATGGCTCAATGTGGGCATGCCTTAATACGGAATGAAGGGTGTCCTTTTAGTTGTCCTTAAACAGCCCAGCCCAACCTAGAGACACAAAATGCTACGAAGTCCAATTCAGCTTGAAGCAGACAGTGGCTCCGTCCCTCAAAGACATGAACAACAAGCACATTTGTTTACCCTCTCTCCCACTAACATGGCATCTGATGTATATATATATATACATTATAGCTATATATATATATGTAAATGTGTACATACACATATACGTGCATGTACATACATGCACATAGATACCGCCTGTCTATTATTACATAAACACAAGTCACGGAGGTCAGCAAATGTGTATGTTTTCGGCTCACCCCCCTTTTTTGGGCTAAGCTGTTAATCAAAACCAAACGGCAAGCGCTTCGGCGTCCATGGCGAAGCAGTCGAAACTCTGAGGCGAAGCCTTCGACGACTGGCGCCACTTCCAGGCCCGACTGCGCCTTGCCACGGGCGCGGAGGCGGAGGCGCTGCTGGCGCGGCACTGGCCGCGCCTTGCGTCGCAACGGGACCAATCGAAAGCAGAAGTTGAGAGAAACACGCGAACAGCTGACAGAAGCTAGCGGAACAACCAAACAAGAAAGCAACAACGGCAACAAAAGCAGCAGCAGTAACACCGACAACAACGACCACGACAACGATCAACAACAAACAGCAAACATCCAACAGCAAACTGTGAACTTGCACAATCAAGGGTTTTAGGCGGTAATGAAGGAATACCCTCGGTAATTAAGGGATTTCCACTGGTCTTTCAGTCTGAAACAGCCACTTCCCGACCTGGGCATGCGCGGCGCTGCTTCAACTTTTTTCACCGAAAGACATGGAATGTCTGCCTGAGCAGCGAGAAAAGCCTACAAGAGCCCGCCCCTAGGCTCTGACGCTCAGAAGTACTCAGAAGGTGCAAATACCATCGTCAATGCCTTAGGCAGCTCTGAGGCATACGGAGGCTCCGCGAAGTGTGGAGCCAGATGAGCCTTGAAAACAAATGCTCAATTGATACTGGTACCTGCTATTGCAACAAAACAGCACAATGTTTTTTGCCCGGGAAGTAGGCTTACAACAAACCGAGCTGACCGTGCGTCAAATCGTTGCAGGGCTAACAAATTTGGGCTTGCAGAACTCGTTGGTTTTAGATAGGAAAAAAACGTTATCTGATTTCATGATTGGTCGAGTTGTTGAGGCCTGTCAGGTCCTCTCCCAAAAGTCTATGAAAATTAGCAGCTTGAATTTCAGAAGAAAAGACAAATTGACACGTCAACGCTGAAAAGCCATGGCGCCTCGCTGTGCTCTGAACCATCAGCTCACTTCTTGAAGAAACTGGTGAGTGACGCTGATGTTCCCGGCGTTTCTTTCCCTGGGCCATGTGCGCTAGCATCACGCTTGCCGGCGTTTTGAAGTTGTGTCGGCGCTGCTGCCGGGCGCAGCCTCCTTATCCTGCCCAAGGAAAACGCCGTGCCAAGCGCAGTGGGAGATGGTCGAGCTGGCCCGTTTTCTTCAGTACTGCTGGTAACGGTGTGTGCTTGATTTTGTCTATTGGTTATTTGGTTGAAGAATGGGACAAAGTTGGACAAGGTGGTTGGCCTGCAGGCCAGGAGCCCGGGCTCCATTGTTTGCCCTCCGTGACTATAAAATCCATGTCGCTTGCAGGACGCCACTTCCAGGTCCCCAATCACTTCCAGCTCCGCTAGCAACGCAGCACGCTCCAACGCCTTTACCTGCAGGGGCGCCTACACCTACACGTGTGCATTTGCGTGTTCCTTGCCTACGCGGATGACTACGCGCTGGTGGGCGGCTAACACGCGGCGATGGCATTGTTCGTTGTTCATCTCGTAGCTAAACATGTAGCCACTCTCCCTCATATAGCCTCAACTTCAACCACTGCAAAACATGAAAGCTTCAAAACGTAGGTACTAGGTGATTCTATCATGTGTCATCCGGGCTTGCCCAAGCGCGCACCGCCTGCCGTGCCACATAGAAAAAAAACGCAATCATGCACGCGGTGTACGCGGCCAATGTTATTGGCATTATACACACGACTTGACTACACACACACTATTACACACACACACACATCCAAAACGACACATGCAGGTTCGACAATTCTTCTGCGAGCAAGTCACGACACATAATGGTACTGCGTCAATGCACTGGCACCAGTACCGCCAGTACCCCCTAATGAAGCAATGAAGCATAGATTAATCTGTCCCAAAAGAATGCCAACAATCAACAATCCAACAAAGAAAGCCTTGCTCTGAGAGTCTGGGTGTTCTACATTTCAACAATGCGAACATGCTTTCGCCGCAAGACCAGCCTGCATGCTTTCATCTGCGTCGTGATCCGCATCTGAATCAGGAAGGGTTCTGGCTATCTCCTCCGCAACAGCTGGCGACGAGAAAGCCCCAGCCCAAACGCAAACCTATGTGTCTGTGTCGCACACTCCATAAGAGCGGTCCTACTCACAACAAGGTACACTCCATGCTATGTGTTTTTATTACTAGCTACTTTACTAAGTTAGTAGCACAGTAGTAGTTAGTAAGTACTAAGTACTACTACTAAGTACTAAGTAACAAGAAACGATTTGGGCAAGATGCTGGAAAAGAGTTAGCCTTGGGCCCTGGGGCCCTGGGTACTACTAAGTAAAACGAAACGATTTTTTCATCGCTCTTTGTGGGCAAGATGCTGGAAAAGAGTTAGCCCAAAATGCCCAAAACCAAGCGATCCTCACTCCACTCAAGCCCTTACATTCAAAGGACATAATCAATCATCATCGATTCTAGGCATCTAGTACAAGCCTGAAACTACTACAAGCCTGAAGTAACCCCCCGCCTTTGGGTGCATTTTACAGGGTCCGGTCAAGTACGTGATCATCTGGTATCTGGTGTGTGAACAACTGCTGCAGTTTGACAATCGGTCCTTGGCCTCTCCGGCTGCAGCAGCCTGCTTCTCTGTGTCCTGGCTACGTGGATGTTTTGACGTCTGTGAGCCGTGAGCCATGTGTTAAAGGTGAGTCCTGCTCGGCTGTCAGCCCTGCCACAGGCGATGGTGCTGCTTTGTCCTGACGCTGGCACACTTGAGTTGCAGCTATAGGCCTCAAAGCGGGTCCAGCCTTGGCAGCAGGATTTGGCGACGCCGACGCCGACGCTGCGGCTTTGTCCTGACGGCTGGGCACACGGTTAAGTTGCACTGCAAGAGTCAATTGGACTTGAGGCAGTCAGCCACTCCGACCAGTCAAGTCAAGTCCTACAAAAAACTTTCAAAGTCGGTGGATCCTGCTCAGCAATTGGCTGCTCCGCAGCCGGCAATGGTTCCACTGTCTCCTGACGCTGCTGGCCACACACTTGAGTTGCAAAAGCTCTCAAAATGGGTCCTTCTCCGCAACTGGCTGCTGCTCCGCAGTTGGCGAAAGTTCCACCGTCTCCTGACGCTGCTGGCCACTTGCTTGAGTTGCAAAAAAACCCAAAGTGGGTCAGTGGGTCCTTTTCAGCAACTGGCTGCTCCGCAGCCGGCGATGGTTCCACTGTCTCCTGACGCTGCTGGCCACACACTTGAGTTGCAAAAACTCTCAAAGTGAGTCCTTCTCAGCAACTGGCTGCTCCGCAGTTGCCGATGGTAATTGCCGACCCCCCCTCGGTAATTAAGGATTTGGCAACTGCAAACCGCTAGCCAAAATCCTTAATTACCGACCCCCCCTCGGTAATTAAGGATTTGGCAAGTGCAAACCGCCAGTATGATACTACAAGTAGTACCGCGCAAGGCGGTGGCGGAAGTTTCTAAAAAAGAACCACTGTAGGAGGCTTGAACAACCAGGGCAAACATGTTTGGGGCCAAATTGAAAACCAATCATGTTTTGTTTGTGACGAACATGGCCAAACGGTCACAAAAGAAATCAACAGGTCATGTCTTCACAGGCAACTATTCCACCGCTCGGACAAAAACTGGAAAGAAAACCTGGCTGACAGGGAGCCTGCCTGACCGCAAATGTTTGACAAGTCTTAAGCCTCCATCATTTACCCTTTGTTACCATCCGCCCGCCCGTTGTCCCACCGGCTCTTTTTCCTTTTTATGCGGGCAGATTCACTTTGTCTCTGTTCAAGGCAGCACGGTCAGAAAAGACGCATGCTGCCAGGCAAGGCACACTGCAAGGCACACGGCCTGGCAAGCGCCGGGCGGTCAGAAAAGACGCACCCTGGCGCATCTCAAGCGCATTCAGCGCTGTCTTGTCAAGCGTTCAAGGTCATCGTGCACCTCTTGCGCCGCGGTGCGAAGCTGGAGACACTCGTCAATGTCATTTTGCTCGAAGTGTTTTTTGGCGTGCAGCGGAGTAAAGGCAACCAAGCCGGGTATGTCTTGGCCTTCGTTGCTGTGAAACTCAGGGAGCCAGCGGGGAAGGCCTATGAGCATCACGCGGTCATCGCCGTCTGCTGCTCTTTCGTCCGCACGGGCCACAAAGCCTAACTCCTGCAAAAGCGTGCGAAGATACTGGCTGGCCCGCTGGTCTCGCGCGCGCGGGTCAGCCCCTTTGCTTCCGATCTCCGTGTACCTCAAGTATCGCTGCGCGTTCAGAGTGGCCATGATGCCGTGTTTTTTGTTGAAGCCATGCCAGTGTGGGCACACGGTGCCAAAGCCCATAAGCTGCTTGTGCCTGCGACATCTTCCAAGAGGGCATGTGTCGTGCACCAAGTAGTGCTCGATGTCCCCCGCATCGTTTAAGTATCCAATGGGGCGATACTTTTCACCCCACATGGTGCAGCAAACGGGTCGCACCACAGAGCGGGCAGCGTGGTGCCTCTTGCGGTAGTTATGCGCCACCCAGCCGGCATCGGCATCGCCAGGACGCGTGCGCTGCGCTCTGATGCCGCAGCCTAAAAGAAAGTCATACAAGGCAACATCCCAAGCCTCCTGGCGCGCCAAGTGCACGGAAGCACACATGCCCAGCATGAGCTCCACGTGTGCTCGCAAGTGTGGATGCATCACACTGTCGGGCCTCAGCGTGGCCATGATTTCAGCTCCCAAAGCTTGCAAGTGGATTTGCGCTCCAAGGGCTGAGACAGGGGCAGAAAAGCCGCCTGCGTGGCCAGCAGCAGGGGCAGAAAAGCCGCCTGCGTCTGACATCCACCAAGGCATGCCGAGATTGGATTGCTCGAAAGAGGCTCGCCAGTCCCTTGAAAGCAGGACGTGCCCCAAAGTCATATCTGCAGGCACCGGCAACGGGACTTGCAAGCAGACATCCGTCTCGGAGATCACATTGTCCCGCGAAGTGTTTAGGGGCTCACCAGTGTTGTCGCCCCAGTTCACCTCCATCGCCCCGGCCGAGCATCGAATGGCCGGCAAGGCTCTCGGCAAGGGCAAAGCGCCGCTTGCCTCCAAGTAAACATCGTGCTCCATAAAGGACTGCCGCGGCGGAAGCTCCGGCAGCAAGCCGAGATCGGAAGCAGCCACATGGCGCCGCACCTGCTACAAGTCTGCCCGGTAGCCCTCGGGGATCAAAGG